GACAAAAATGACTAAACAATATCAACGGGCCTATCTCATTGTGAATCCAAGTGGTATTAGCATCCCTCCAAAAAACATCTTTTTATTTGGGGATTATTCACACTGAATTCCTTAATGTGAAGCACATCACATTGTTAATATTTCTAAAGAAATGGTTTTCTGATATAATTGAATGCCAAATATGAATACTAAATGGCAGCATCAGTGCAAGTTTCTAGTTATTTTCACACTAATTTCATGCTGAAAAACCACACGAAGGCTGACAATTTTGTATTTGATAAATGCCTAATAAACGATGAGAGGTTAACGTTCTGAAACTAATGTTTTCTGAGGAAAAATGAGAAACAAATATTAAACTTCTAAGCTTTTCTAAGAAGAATAAGCCCTAAATATCTTCCCAAGAGAATCTTCACTTACAGTCTAAAAGTGAGCATTTGAATTAAAATTTTATATGATTTCATTAAAATTAATTTCTTTACATACATATTGCTGAAAACAATCTGTTTCACAGAGGTTTTCATTTGGAAAAGAAAGCAAACATAGATGTTGTGTAAGGGAACCAAACTGAGACTTTTCACACTCTGTGCTTGGGAATTAATTTACTGCCAGGAGATGAGTAAGGGATTCAAATTTAAAAATGGCTTCAACATCACTTCTTAGAATAGTTCTGAGAAGCAAAGGTGGCCTTTCTGCAACTCCTAAAATTGTTTCATAAAATAAACACAACAAAAAAGTACTTCCATTGTGAAGAATGGATACAAGTGTTAGAGTTCAAATCTGTGCATTTGTTTTGTTTTGCTTTGTTTTTGTTTTTTGAGACAGGGTTTCTCTGTGTAGTTTTTTTTTAGTTTTCTTTTTTTTTTTTTTTTTTTTTTTTTTTTTTTTTTTTTGGTGCTTCTCCTGGATCTCACTCTGTAGACAAGGCTGGCCCTGAACTCACAGAGATCCACTTGTCTCTGCCTCCAGAGTGCTGGGATTAAAGGCGTGTGCCACCAATGCCCAGCTGAACTCTGTTCATTTTTAATTACCTCAGTAAATCTATAAATGATGGTTGATCTAAAGAAAGCTTAACACAAAGGTATTTTTAAAGATATTATTATTATTATTAGTGTGCCGGCACTAAAGAATATCTTTGAAAAAGTAGTATTAGCTATAGATTAACACCTCTCAATTATAAAATATGGGTAATAACTGCCATGCAGTAATTAGGTTAAGCTTATCAGTATATGTAATGAACATATTATCTAATTAAAGGTTAACAATATTCTATGACAGGTATGATTTTTCCTATTGTACAGTTGTCAAAACCAAGACTGAAACTATGGCTATTCAGAAAAGAAGCCAGGGTAGAATTCAAACCCACATCCTTAGACTCTCATGTTCTGGTTCAAAGGCAGATGCTGCTTATGGGTAAGCATAGCTGAGGCTCTTTCAGTATATATCCAAGAGAGGTATATTTGACCTTTATTTCCAAGAGTAAGTCTTGTGAGGCACAGAATGTTTTCATACAGCAGAAATAGAAACAAAAAGGAACCCTTTACATGGAAACTTGAGTTCTATTTTTTTTTAACAAAACATAAATTAGAGAAAAATGCCTCAGCTGAATACTAGCAGACAGCAAGTCCATTTTGTATTTCTTCTCCTCCCTTTTTCCTCTTTGCATGCTCCTTCCTTCCTTCCTTCCTTCCTTCCTTCCTTCCTTCCTTCCTGCCTGCCTGCCTGCCTTCCTTCCATTTTTGGCCCTAAAATATTTCTTTTAAATTGGGAATTCTGTATACAGACATAAGAAGTCCCATAACAAAATGGAAGTAAGAATTCACAACAGGCAGCTGCTTTGAAAAATGCCAGTGTAATTTACTCTGAAAAACACTGAGCTAAAGCTGTTTTTGTGGAATAAGATGAACAGCTTCTATTAATGCTAATTGAAATCCTCATATCCACACATACCATGCATAAAATTTACTTCTACAGTTATTCTTTCCACCTCAAAATTGCAGTAGGTCCAATGCCAGAATACTAGCTTTTTAATTTGAGCATCCATGCATGCAAATTGATACTTTTTTGGTGATTATGTTGACAAATTCAATACAGGTGAAATCCAACTGTTTGTAAAATGGACAAAGTTTTAAGTGTGACCGTTCAAAAACGATGAAAACTGAATCTCTTTGCTTAAAAGAATCCAATTCAATCCAAAAATGAAATTTATAATTTCATAATATTTTCACTTCAATAACAGCATCTTAATGAATGTGGCACTAATATATGCCATCAAGATGTCCCATACTTTAACTTCCATATATAAACCAATACATTTAGATGAGTAGTCCAATTTCCTTACATAAACAATTAACATGATTCCTCTATCTCTATATAAAAATATGTATATTTCCATTTATATATGTAGAGAGATTATATACATACATACATACATACATACATACATACATACATACTGTTTGTGTGCGTAGTAGACATATTTTGGGCAAGTGTCTAAATACTTGGAACAAAGGTACAATACTCTTGCAGGTTAATTTATAAAGTCTGGATGTAGAATTGTGTTAGCTGTGTGGTGGTAGCTCATGCATTTAATCCTAGCACTTGGGAGGCAGACACAGGCAGATCTCAGTGAGTTTGAGGCCAGCCTGGTCTAGAAAGTGAGTTCCAGAACAGTCAGGACTCTTAACATAGAGAGATCCTGCCTCAAAAATAAATAATCACATAAATAAATGAGTAAATGAATAAGAATTGTGTTAGTTTATTAAATTCAAAATATCAATACTTTGAATTACTATATATACTAGTGAATTTGAGACTGTTACTCTAGATAAAAATAATATCAAATCTTTTAGTACAATAAAACTTGAGGTGTGTTATTGCTCCTTTAGTCTTGAACTACAAAGCATGGTCAACTGCTGATTTTTTTCACTAGAAACTACTTCATGCCTCGGTGGAGTAAAACAAAAAGGCTACATATCATTCATAAACAGTGTTATCACAGAAAAATACAAATTTTCATTTAAGAAGATCACAGCTGTGAGATATGGACTTCACACAATTCTCCAAATTACTGATTGTGTTTGTGTTCTCAACTGAAAGTGTACTGAGTTTAAGAGCCTTACCAGCATGTGGTACAGCTGGTAATGTAGTTTAGGAGAGTTGTATTTTTTTTTTTTTTCACGAGATGCTAGAACTTGTTTCTGGAAATACTGCAGACTAGGGTTCTCTTTGTAGAAAAGTTAATTCAAATAATATCAGCAATGCTAATTGTGGAAAGACATGACATCACTCTGATTGAAGCTACTTAAGGATTAGAGAAGATGCTACCAAATTTGTCAGATTCTTTGAGGAAGAGGTGGAAAACCATTTTTCATTTGTGCATTCAACAAAAGCCTATTGAGCCTTATTTCTATAAACACAGTATTAATGTCTGAAATGAAATAATGATCAGACATGTACATAATGCAAAGGTGGGTGAAGCAAACTCACTGGAAATAATGAATCTAAGTTCTGTATGAGTATTGTGTTTAATGGGGTAAATTAGAGAGTAGAATGGCCTGCTCCTAAGGGTATGGCGCATTATTCAGAAAATGAGAAATAGTAAAAACTAAACTCTTTTTTAATTTCTTTTTTATTTTTTTCAAGACAGAGTTTTTCTGTGTAGCCCTGCCTGTCCTGGAGACCAGACTGGCCTCAAACTCAGTGATCCATCTGCCTCTGCCTCTTGAGTGCTGGCATAAAAGGCAAGTGCCACCACTACCCAGCAACAACTAAATTCTGATTGAAATAAATAATTTTTAATTATTATATTACTACCCAAATCCAGAAACTTATACCCATGTTTTCTAGTACACTTTAACTTGGACAATGGTATTATGGAAAGTTTCAAAATTGAACTTTTACTGACTTATTTTTTATTTACTTTTGAGATAATGTCACATACTGAGGTCTAGGCTTGCCTGGAATCAACCTTACTCAGATGGGTGTTGAACTCCTGTCAATCTTCCTGTCTCAGCCTCCCAAGTGCTGAGAATACAGGCATGAGCCTTCATACCCAGAAAAAAAAAATCTACTAACAATAAAAATGGCTGGGCAGTGGTGGCGCATGCCTTTAATCCCAGCACTCGGGAGGCAGAGCCAGGCAGATCTCTCTGTGACTTCGAGGCCAGACTGGGCTACAGAGTGAGTTCCAGGAAAGGTGCAAAGCTACACAGAGAAACCCTGTCTTGAAAACAACATAAATAAATAAATAAATTAATTAATTAATAAATTAATTAATTAATTAATTTAAAAAAAATGAAAATCATTGAAGATTTTTACAATCATCTTTATATAATATCAAAAGTCAGTAGTATGTTCCAGAAGGGGGAGCCAATTAAAAAATTGAAATTAAAGATTATCTCTGGTTTAATCATGATGTGTTTTGAATTACTGTCATTTATTCAAAAATATGAGTCACTGTACTTATGAGTTGCTAAGTAGGTTTGCTGAGACACATGTACTTTAACATAATCCATACTTCCCTAGGGGTTGGTCTTATGTAAGGAACTTTGTGGGTTGAAGTTGTTGGTACCCAGTTTCAGCAGCATTATGCCAAGTTAACCTTTTGATGTGTTCCAAATGGAAAAAAAAAAAAAAGCATTCTCAAGAACATTCCACAAATAGTGTGAAAGGGCACCATGCAATCTTAGCAGAAATTTTATATATTTCATTATAGAAAGCAGTAACTCTATGATAAAGGCAAATATATTTCAAAGAAGCAGGATGATGTAGGAGACAAACTATGTAAAGGACAGAGTCCCTTTCTCATAGGTCCATCTTCTTAGAGAGAGAGAGAGAAAAAAAAAAGAAAACCAAACTTTCTAAAATGAAAAGATGATGAATATTATTTTGGAGATACCCAGGCCAGAAGATTGCACAGGGAAGTGAAGAAAATCTCAACAGTCATCAGATTGAGAACAAATGGTAGATTTCCTCAGAAAACTACCCCAAATCAAACTTACCTGATCTACTATCCAGAGGTCCAAAGTCCAAAGAGTATTTCACAACATGGTAGTTATTCCACACATAAAGCAGATTGTCCCTGGGGTTGTAATCCACAGCTGCTATGTACTGGTAGGAATTGGGAAAGGGCACATCCACCAGGCTATCCTTGCTTAGGTCGGTGTTGTAAAGGTAGTCAATCTTATTACCGGTGGCCTCATTGTCATCGTCCTCATATACAGATTTGACCACATACAGAATCCCACAAATCATAAACGCATTGGAAGCTGACCTTTTGTCATATGCCGTGTCCCATGTCCCCTCAATCCGTAGGGTATAAGGGTTCAACTGGCTAATGACAATTTTGCCATTGTTTTGTTCTGTTGCATAGATTACCCATAATCCATTTTCATCCACTGCCAAGTCTATATCAGATTTGCCACCCCATCGGTATGGGGATGTGTCATGGTAATTGGCATTTGCTATGATTGCCTCTCCACTCTTTATCCTAGTCCGTAAGTCAAACTTTACTATGTTCCTGGTACGCTCCTTGTTGAAGAACAGGGCACCATCATATACTACAAATCCAGTGCCGTCCACTCTGTGAGGGAGCTTGTAGGTAGTTGTTGGCCTTCCAGCAATGAAGTCATCTTTGGATGAATACTCTGTCAGTGTATCAGTTCGGTATGGGGTCCAGGGCATATAATAAATCTTGTCGGAAGCCTGTAGAGGGTCTTTGCACCATGCCCCAGATTGGTGGTCAGATTCGAACAAGTGTTCACTCTGGTACACTCCTTTTAGCAGTCCAGGACAAAGAAAAACTGTCAGGAGGGAAAGTTATAATAATAAATATATTAATTGAATCTCTTTTCATCTGTTCTTATTCTCAGCTAACAGAATGCAACTCCAACAAGCGATACCCACCACCACGTGCTTTGTGGCATTACTGTATGTGATACAAAGCATTCTTCCACATTAATATTGGATTTTTGCCTCCAAACAATTTGATGCCACTTGTTGGAAAAATGTTAGCCTTTTTAGAAGCAGCTGTGCTTTCCTGATTTTTAGTCTTGCAAACCCATATTTTGATGTATGTCTGAAGTGTAGCATTATGTCTACGAGTTCTATAGACATATAACAAAGTACCAAGTTCACACAAGATGCTCTTATTAGTTCAATTGAAGAACTGTGTCTCATTGGAAAATGACAATCCATTGCTTCCAGTCGGATGAAACTGTCTGTTCAACAGTTATTTATCATTAAGAAATTGATAGCCCACATTATCATTATTTAAATAAAGGAAAAGAAAAAGATCTGCAACACAGGCCACTGAATCTTCTAGCCAAAAAAAAAAAAAAAAAAAAAAAAAAAAAAACTCTCAAAGCTGCTGCAACACACACAGAGCATGCAACCCATTCAATTAAAGATGAGTGATGGATGGATACTGGAAGGAAAAAGAGAAAGGGAGAAAAAGAAAGGAAAGGAAGAAGAAAAGAAGAAAAGGTAAAAGGTTACAGAAAAGAACCCAGGATCTAGATTTTAATCAGTTAAAAAAGTCCTGTTAAGTACAGTATTATTGGAACTTAAAAACATGTACCTTTTACTGTTACATGAGAAAAGCATTGAAAAAAAACAAAAACAAAACAAAACAAGATTACTTGCTATATTTTGCTGCTCATACTTCAGAAGGAAAATGGGCAGGAATTGTCTGATTCTTTTTGTTGTTTAGTATGATTCACTAGAGAACATTGTAAGTATGGTGGTAAGAAAGCTTGGCAGGTTCATCTGAAATGAAGGAGCTACAAAGCAACGTTTCCCAAAGGGTGGTTCTTGAAGCTTATGTGACAGACCTGGATGCTGCATATTAGGAAAAAAGGGACCTGTAGCCCTTTTTGACAATTCAATTATGACACGAGATAGGAAATAAAACCATGGTATGGATCATAATAGCTTAAGTATATGGATGAATCTCTAAATCGGAAGTTGGGTGAGTGAACAGGTTGCACAATTTGATCCCAGGAGCCTTTCCATGAAGCCACTCTGGATGACTGTGTTCTGCTGAACCTGCTCTGGGAAGCGTTGCTTGCATATATTTGCAAAGCAAACATATTGAAAGAATCGCCATGCAGTCCGCTGTTAGGTTTGAGATGATTAGAATTTTCCTGGGTGGAAAAAGTAGGAAGTCACAAGGAATTGGATGCTGACCTGCTTTTTAATAAATAAAGGATTATCCTTTGGTGTTAGTGATTAGCTCCTTAGTATTAACTAGAAACACAGATCCCCTGGAAAAGTCTAGGAGGAACCTCAGCTGTGCATTAACGCTGGCTGAAATGAAAGGACATTCCTAAGATATTCAAAGCCTTAATTTTATAGAAATAAAGAGTTTTGTGGCAAAAGTTGACCTTCAAATTCTGCAAAGATAGGGATCACTATAAATTGTGATAAAAAACAATACTGATGGTTTTAAAACTTAGGAATTTTAATATGAAAACTCTTACTATAAGTATGAATTACTCTCTGACTCAAACATATAACCTTATGTTATAATTAATAATGGGCCCATGGTTACTAACAGTAGATGAGACTACGTGCACTCAGAGTGGTTTAGCCACAGACACCAACGTCACTCAAGATAATTAAGAAGAGTATCTTCTCCTCTTTCTCCAGTAGTTAAGAGTTAATGTAGAAGGAGAAACACAGTACAGCTAAGGGAAATTAAGAAAGAATGAGGGACAAATCTAAAGCAATCATTATTTACCATGCCCACTGGATTTCTAATTACTAGTTTCAAATAAAGAGGAATAAAATACAGTGTTGATGATTGTGTAATATTAATAATTTGTGTTAGGTATAAGGATTAAACCAGCAGTGGTCAGTAAAACAGATTAAAGTGAAGTTGAGCAGCAGAAGTAGTCAATAAATTTGCATAAAATAAGAATTAATAACAAAATTATTTAAGTAAATGTTAAACTGTTAAATAACTTAGCCTATAAATATTATATAATTTATGAAAGGTATTTAATTACCTTTTTGTTCCACTTCTATTGGAGAGAGAGAAGTAAAGAGAGAAAGGAGAAAAGAGAATAGATTAATGGTACGGTATTGGCCAAGCACTTTTTATTCACCTTTTCCAAACTGAAAGTAAATCATTTATTGCAGTCATGCTTGCTTAATTGAACTCTGTTTAATTTAAAAATTTCACCAAAATAGATATTTTTAAAATAATCATAAGCTTTAAAATAAACATCAAAATTACTGTAAAAAAAATAATATGGGAAATGCAAATAACCATTACAAGAACACCAGTAGCGACATTTGAAAGGGAGGTCAGCAAGTTTATACACTGGAACTTTCAAACAATTTGGTTAGTTTCACTTCCAAATACTACAGCAGATACCACATCTTAACAGATGAGCTCTGCTTGTTTTGCAACTCACAAAGGTAGCCTTTTCAGAAGAGACGTTTCTGTAACTCATTTCCTGGAACCATAGACTTGGGATAGCTCATCAGAAATACAACTTGTGCTGATACAAGCAAATGGAGGAGGATCCTGCCCAGAGTAAATGAATGCATGTAGAATCCTCACTGAACAAATTTCTTTCTCATCTCTCAATATTTGACACTAAGATGGAAAAAATACTGTCTCATAAAAATCTTCAATCAGGATACTAATGTAAATAATGAGCTACTGTCTCTGGCTTTTTCTGAAATTCTTAACTGAATCACTATTTACTTAAAACAGGAGATTCTGAAACATTTTATTCATATGTAGGTCTTATGATTTCTAAAGGTTCTTATAAAAGTTGGGAAATGTAACATATTCATGAAACATTAACTGGCACCTTCATTACCTTATAAACATGTATAAATAGGGTTGCCTACATCTTAACGAACAAAAGGGGCCAACCTGGAAAAGGCAAAGATTTGGGGGGAAGAATGGGTTCATAAACCAAATATGAAAATTCAGAGTCCAAATGTTGTCAGCCTATGGCAATTTCAGTAGAAAGGGATAAACTGATGATTATCACATGCAAATAAACTGAACCCTCTACTGATATTTCAAAAACAAACAATAAATACTGGGTTCAGGTAATTATATTTGGGTGCAATTTCTATGCTTTGACATGAATTCTTATGGTTTTAGTAACATTCAAAATAAAACTTGTAATTTCCTTTGATAGTATAGTATCTATCATACATTAGAAGCAAAAGTGGTCTGTATATATGCATACACATATAGGCATACACATATACAAATAACATATGTGTCTTTATAGAAAAATTGCATCTTACTAATTTACAAATCTAATTTTCAACACTATTTCTACAAATCCTTCAGAAACTCCATTACTGTATTGTCACCATCCTCACTTATTCTTTATGAAATGACTATAAGGCTGTGGATCAATATGGACCCATGGAAAGCCTCATCTAGGAGAGATCCAGCTGAAGACGATGGGTAGTAGTGCCAGAGCCTGCCAACTCTCAGGACGAGCTCATTCTGTTGTGATGGGAATAGGCCCTGTCCTGGAACAATCTTCTCCCACAGCTACAACATGGGATGTGAAGGCAAGAAAAACAAGATGCCCAAGAAGAATGCAGTTAAGTCCAGTGTCTGTTTCAGGATAATTCCAATTTGCTGAGGCATGAGCTGCAGGGAAAGACAGAGAGCACAAGGCCAGTGGCCTTACTGCCCAGACTCCTGCCTCCACCCTCTTGGGGCCCTAAGTCAAGTAAGTTTTGTATTTTTCGTTACTGGGCAAATATGATTGCTACCTCAGCTTGGACATCTATGTCTGCTGCAGATCAACAGGCCTCTATTACAGCTCATTTCAAAGCACTGAAATGATATACCCTTTAATCCTAGTTTAAAAACAAATAGTTCTACTTAAAAGATGCACTTCAAATTTAGACTAAAAACAAAAATGTATTCAATCTGACAATGAGAGGAAGCACAACTGGCAACATAAAATTGATTTCAGTGAGAACTTCAAAGTTTGAACTTGATGCTCATTACAATAAAGACTGAGCTTGGGAATGTGGAGTTCACATTTTTCAATGCCTAGTCTAAAAAGGATTTCTACCTAAACGGTTCCTTGATTTTTTTTTCTTCCCATACCACTTTGAAAATTACTTTTGAAATATTTATATTCTAAATACCAAAACTACACTGAAATTATTCCTTAGAAGAAATCACCTAGCGTGTTTGTTAGTGATAGTTAAGTTGTTTCAAAGATTTATTTATTCATTTGTGTGTGTGTGTGTGTGTGTGTGTGTGTGTGTGTGTGTGTGTGTGTGTGTGTATCTGTTCATCCATCCATCCGTCTGTCTGTCTATTTGCATGTATACATCGGTGGTGGCCAAGCCCAAGGGAATCCCTGGAGCTGGAGTTACAGATGTTAGTGAGCTTCCTGATGTGGGTGCTGGGAATCAAATGGGGTCCTCTGAAACAGGATTAAGCTCTATTAACTGGGAGGTGTCTCCCCAGCCCCATGGTAACTTTCCACACACCTGCAAAATATATTTATTTTTAAAATTGGATGCTATGGTGTATTTTTAAAGTTAGAAAAAATATGTGTCTACTATATTGAGTGAATAGTCTTACATTTCAATTTTTATTTTTCAAAGATATTTGACCTCTTTTATCCCAACTCTCATTTAGTAAAATTTTGATTTTAAACTTTTGATGTTAGTCTTATTTCTAGGAATTTGGCATGCCATGTGGAGAAAGCCATTCTTGCTTTGTTACTTGCTGGTACTCAGAATTAAGATTGATTAGGCAGTTCTGTTTGGGAGAATAATTACTATGGTCTTGCCATGTCGTGACTGGCTGTAACTCATTCATCATTTATTTGCTATTTTTAAGGCTGAAGTAAAGCAGTCCTATAATTTAAGTTGAAACAAGCTCACACAAATCATATTTCCATAACAAAAACTGGCAAGATGACATAATTTGTCAGGAAAAAGCTTGGTAACATTTAGCATTGGCCAGGCTTAGCCAATTCTGAGTCTGATGCTTAGAAGCTAACCCATCCTGGAAAATCAAATTAAATGGAGACAAGAAACAAGCATATGACTGTGTCCTGTGGGAACACACAGTTCATGGCACGTAGGAAATATCTAATTAACAGCTCATGAATTAAGTACATCGTACAAATGATGGTGAGTATTTTTGTGTTTGGGTGTTTGGAGCATGCTAGAAAATAAGTGGTGAGCCACATAAAGCCATAAAATCTATTAAACTATCTATGTAAAATATTTCAATATTTTAATGGATGTGTAAGAAAATAAAAATATATGAGGAAGTGATAGCTCCAACTTACTCAATATAAAGTGGAGAGAAACAGCACAGAAGTAAGCGGAAGGTCCTGCATGTTGTACTGATAGGAAAACTGTTTTACTTAAACAAAACAGACTGCAACAACCTAAAACTACAGGCCCCAAAGTGCTCCCTTCTCTCTTCTGTGTAATGACATCATAAATCAATGAATTGTATGATGACAACTGTGGCTTAGCCCTCTGCAGAATCTTCTGCCTTTTAGCTTGTCCAATATCCTGAATTCTGACATTATAGCTGTCATTTCTCATTTCCAAATCTCCTTGGAAATAATTCTCTGCCTTTTCTCTCTTCACTTTTAATCCTGAAAGCATTTTTATTGTCCATTCAGACTCAGTAAATATGTTTATATATTTCCTTAAAGTGATTTCATTGCTGTCCTTCATCAAGCATAATGCCATAAACTATATCCCATGGTTTGAGCAAACGTCAGATTCAAATAAAGGATAACTTGATTCTATACACAAGGAAGACACTGGAAAAGAGCCAATTAGTATATTTTTCTCTCAACCTTCAAGGGTTCATAAAACAGATAGATAAGAAGGCATTTTGTTTATCAAAATAGGATATTATCAGTCCTAACGATTTCTGTACCCTGTGAAATACTTTAGAATTGCATTCTTTAACAAGAAAGGGTATGGAACAGAGAGTGTACAGAGGCATTGCCAAGCTTCATCACATTCTCTTGCAAATTACCGAGAAACAAATTCGTTGTGTGCCAAAAACTGTTAGTGCCTTAATTGAAATCTATGCAATTGTATATAATTCTAATATTAAATTTTCTTTTCCAAAAGTGTGAGTTATAGAGTATACCTTTTCATCTAAAATTTAAAGATTCCAGTGTTACAGTCTCATAATGTCTCTATTTCTTTAATATGCAAATAAAGATACAGAGATTATAATAGTTATAAAATATGAAATATTTTATAAGCAAATAATCTTTTTACTGAAGCACAGTAGTATCTTAAACAGAACTATTTTTCTTGTTACATACATCTTAGAATGCTGAAATACACTTGGGCAACCTCTCCACATCCTGAGTAATAACAACAACAAAACATCATTTTTGTTGAAAAGTTTGCTGGTGCATTATGCTTATATATTCATCTATATAAGCATAGGTAAGTCCACAATAATAGTTTCTACATCATAAAGTAATGAAATGGCCTAATTCAGGTCATCAAACAATATTGGGATGTGGTGTTTATTATTCCCACTAGAGAAGAGTGAACAAGAATTTGAAAGGTTAAAGGACTTGAAGAAACCTGGCACACATCTACCACTTGTTTAATATGAGACCCTGCAGAAATTCATCCTCATTTTACATTTTTTGATGAGGAAACTGAGACTCAAAGACTGTGGTTTTATAGTTAATATGTTGGAAGTGGGATTCAAATGTAAATTTTGATCTTGTTCATTTTTAACTTTTAATATAAGATGGTCTTGGTCATGCCCAGTGCCTAACACACAAAAACACCTCAAATAGCATTAGCTATTCTTCAATGATACTTTCAAAGAAAAGGATTCCATGACACTCTTTTCTGGGCTATTATCCCACAAGATTAGAGATGTATAACACCTCTCAAGGGAAAAAGGGGAGGGAAATGGTTTAGAATTTTTTGGCCAAGGAAAGCAGGGTTTGTCTTTTTATTAGAAAGAAACCTTTATTCCAGACCTCCCATCTACAGTCACTTGTTTTTATTT